CGATATGCAGATGATACAACTTCCTGAGTAGCAGGGAGGAACTAAGCACTCTTGTTGTTTGCAGGTGCTTTGAAGTTGGTTCCAATTTACAGCAACCCCATAAACAACAGAATGAAACACCACTCGGTCCTGTGCCATCCTTACAAACATTGCGATATTTGAGCCCATTGTTGAAACCATTATGTCAATTCATCTTTTTGAAGGTTTTCCTTTTTATCTGTGACCCGCTATCAAGCATAATGTCCTTCCCGTGGAACGGGTCTTTCTTGATAATACGTCCAAAACATGTGAGATAAAGTCTTACTATCCTTGTTTGTCAGGAACATTTCAGCTATACTTCCAAGACAGATTTGTTTGTTCTCACAGTCCATATTCTTTGCTAACAATCCATATTTTAAGTGCATCAATTCTTCTTCACCTTCCTTTTTCATTCCTCAGCTCTCACACATGTGTAATATGAAGCGATTGAAAATACTGTGACTTATTTCAGGCCCTCTTAGTCTTCAAAATGACATTTTTGCTTTTTAACATTTTAAAGAGGTATTTTGCAGCAGGTTTGCCATACATCATATTTTTTAACTGCTGCTTCCATGACTGTTCATTGTGGATCCAAGTAAATAAAATCCTTGACAATGTTTAATATTTTCTCTTTTTATTTTGATATTGTTTACTGGTCTAGTTGTGAGGATTTTTGTTTTTTTTTAGGTTTAAGTGTGATCCATACTGAAAGCTGTAGTGTTTGATCTTCATAAGGAAGTACTTCAAATCCTTTTCACTTTCAGCAAGCAAGATTGTGTCATCTTTATATCACAGGTGGTTAATGAGTCTTCCTCTTATCCTAATGCCACATTCTTCTTCATGTTGTCCAGCTTCTTGGATTATTTGCTCAGCATAGTCTAAATTAGTATCGTGAAAGAATGCAACCCCGATGCACATCTTACTTGTTCTTAATCTGTGCAGTAGCCCATTGTTCTGTTGATATACTGCCTCTTGATCTATGTAAAGGCTTTTGCATAAGCATAATTAAGTGTTCTGCAATTCCTATATATATATAT